GTGTGTGTGTGTGTGTGTGTGTGTGTGTGTGTGTGTGTGTGTGTGTGTGTGTGTACATACATACATATATAGAATTACCTGGTTAAGCATAATGTTTTGGATAAATACTTCACCATGGAGTGATGAATACTCATTTAGCCAATAAAATATGTCTGCTGTAATGGTGGAGTTCATAGCATATACAGTATAATTTTCAATATATCTATTTATAGTCTTACAATTTCTCATACCCTACACTTCGGTAAAACAAAAAAAGGATTTGTACTTACATTTAACATTATTTTAGTAAGTCAATGTGGTGCCTTTGATACTGCCTATATATAGCCAATTTTAAATGTGCATTCTGCATGATCTTAAATACAGGTTTATTCAGAAGATCAGAACGGCTCCCCATGAACTTCTGCACTGTCATAGATTTTATAATTATTATATTACTCAGCTAGGAATATATATTCCTACTTCTTGCATTTATTCTGCAAATCCAAATACAGTGGAAAAATGAAACTTGTACAGGGAAAAGAAAACTATGACTAATTTCACAAACCCCATTTTGCAAGTGTGTTTTTAAATAATTTTGAACAAAACAAGTTCCCTTCCATTTCAATTTGCTTTTCCACTAAAAATATTAACTAAGTACTCCAATGTCTTATTATTTTTTACTTCAGATTAACTGACTTATGTTTATCATTAAAACTTTTATTATAAAAAATTCAGTTTTACTTAAAGTGGGATCCAGTAGATTTTTTTTTAATGAGTAAAAATAAACTAGTATTAATTCTTTAATATCCTGAAGAATATGATCTAAGCAGAAAACCTGGAGTCCAGGGAGCAGCTTGTGCAGATCATTTCACATACCTGAATAGTTAGAAGCTTTGCGCCCTCCTGTGGCAGACAAACCAGACAGAAATATAGAGCCTTAAATTTATTTTATGTTCTACCTATCTTATAAAATGATACAAGGATCATAGTGAACCTGACCCAACACTATTCATTTTGTTCCTGGGATAATTTCCACTTTTCTAGACTCAGATGTAGGCAATGAATCTTTATTTGATTAGCAGTGGATATCCATAAAAACCAAGTTAACCTGATAATACTGGGATTTTAATGTCTAGATTAGACACAGGACAAGGTCAGAATTAAACCTTGATCTTAATTAAAGGGCTAAAAAAATATTAATTTAGTTACTCTTATAAATGTTCTTCTCTTCTGATTTGACCTTAGCAACTAATTACTGGATTTAGACATCTGGAGTCCCAAAAGACAGAATGACTAGCACTAAGCTGTTAGGTACTCTATTGTGCATTGATACATTTTAAAACGATTGAAAATGAGAAAAATCTTTTAAAAATGAATTTTCTAGTTTAAAAGATCAATTGAAACTGAATTGTTGATAGTAGTAATTGCCTCACCTTTAGTGTTAACAATCCTGAATCTTAACTTGGGTTTGTATATGCTAAATTACAGTACAGCCTCTTTTAAGGTTCCAGGTTCTTCAATAACTGTGCAAGCAGTTGAAACATGTATGGGGAGTATTAGGGAATATTAATTGCAGGTGTAGGGAAATTTTTTCAGATGTGCTTAAATCACTTTTAAATATGGGAGTCCAGCACTTCTGAAAAGTATAATCCTAAATGTCAGCTCTACAATCCTGAAAGGAAATAACAAAATATACAACTGTTATACAACTAACAAAATATTCCAATTCAATCACGTTATGGAAGATATTTTACAATGCCCAAAGTATAATGAAGATTAATCTTTTCTACAAATTGGGGTTTTTCAAGTGACTTCAGTGGATATTAGATTGGGGTCTAATTCTTTTCTTTGCAATAAAATTGAACCACTTCTAGAATTTCTGTAGCTATGCAAGGAATTGCACAGCTCCATAGGAATTTCATTGTAACTGATGTTTAATTAATGCCCATTTATTTGTAAGTAGCATCAAAAGTTTAGAGAAGGTCATCTTGTGACAAAATATTTATTTATTAATTTAAACTGTAATATTCATCCCATGTTGATGTAATTTGATTAGGAAACAGACATAAGCAGTAAAATACAGTAATACATCATTTGACATTAGTGGAAATGTGGAATAAATGTAACTTAAGCTCCTCACAAATTAATGATTTAGTTACTGGCCCAAACTAGAACAGTACAAATTAAGACACGAAGTAACAAGAGGTGACAAAACAGCAGTGAAAGGGAATTGGGGAGAAAGAAGAGGTATTGCAGTGATACAATTATGCAGTTACTGAGTGAAGATGTGCACAATTAGTGGTTTTACTGAAGGGAGGATAACAACCTAATTGACCAGGTTTTAGAGTGCATTCCTTGGGTGGGGACCTACGTGGGGACAGCCAATGGAGAGGCGAGCAGATGTAGTATTAAGACCAGTGTTGTCATGCAATGAGAAGCTATGCTTAAACTGGATGTAGTAGTTATAAGGGAGATGGTAAGAGTGTGTTGTGGTCAGAATAATGGACAATGATGATTTTTAATTATGATGATTTTTATGGACTGTAAGTGGGCAATAGGGTTCAAAGAAGCAGGAGGGAGTGAGTGGTCTTTGCAGGAAGAGATGGGCTGCTAAGGGTCTGGAAATGGAAACTGAGTTTTTGTGAACCAAATGTACATTATTTTACCTATTCTTTACTCTGCTTTATCACCCACCCCCAAATATAATGGGGAGAGAAATAAGAATATTACAACTAGAATTGTGACATAAGAGTGTTTGGGGCGGGGGTTTGGTGGGAGGAGAGGAATTGGTAGTTTTGTGCTTAGAATGGTATGATACAGTAGTGCTTAAGCTTTTGGTCCCATAGGCCAGATGAATGGCCTGGAGCTGGTCCATGCTTACCAGGATTAGGCTCTGGGGCCTGATTTTGCATCTCTTCCACCACTGTGTCCTGGGATTGGGCCTTGGGAGCCTAGTGCTACCTCTTTCCACCTCTCCAGCCAGGATTGGGCCTTGGAAGCCTGGCACCATCCCTTCCTGCCCCTGTGTGCCAGGACTGAATCCCAGGGGCCTGGCACTGCACCCTCCTAGCTTTCTGCACTGGATTGGGCCCTGGGGCCTGACACTACTCCTGCCTGGCCCTGTGAGCTGGGATTGGATGCCTGATCGAGTGCTCGGGGCCCAGGGCTCCCCACAGGTCTGGAAGTCTGGTAGTAGAATTTCTAGACCCATGGAGAGCCCTGTGAGCTGGATTTGACCCATGGGCGGGGGGTTGAGCACCCCTGGTCTTGTACCACTTGACACTTCCCTTTGCTAAACTGGGGAAAATTAATCCTACAGAAAAGTTAATGTTGAAATGAAACTGGAGCCTAAGTCTGTGCTATGCAAAGTTTCTTACACTGACCTCTCTCCTCTGTCACAGGTATGGAGAGTGCAATCACACTGTGGCAGTTCCTTTTGCAATTGTTGCTGGACCAGAAACATGAGCACCTGATCTGTTGGACATCCAATGATGGCGAATTCAAGCTACTCAAGGCAGAGGAAGTGGCTAAGCTGTGGGGGCTCAGAAAAAACAAAACAAATATGAATTATGACAAACTGAGCCGAGCACTCAGATACTATTATGACAAGGTAACGTTTGTTATTCTAAAACAGACTAAGAAAATAGAAGCAATAGACTAATTAAGAAATGCCAATATTTTGTCTTCATATAGTACCTTTCATTCTTAAAGATCTCTGCACCATAAACACAGGGCACCACTGAAAGCAGCCACCTTTGTGGCATAACGACAGCTAAGCGGCACACAGTAAAACTCTACACAACACTTCAGTGGACTGTGGGTGGAAGGGAATTTTGGCCAAGGATTACTCTTACTGATGCTTGGATGTGCTTATATACATGACCACATAAGACCTTTTGTAACTTTTGATGACAATAAAATAACTATTTGTAATGGAGAGTGACTGTTTGGTTATTACAGCATATTTAAGACCTCAAACGAAGAACTATAGTAGAGAACAGGAATGCTGTAATTGTGATAGTTACAATAGTGACCTCACTGCCAGGCTGTCCACTCACAATAGAAAAAGTGAACAAAAGAAGCCAGTTAAATTCCCAATCTTGAGATCTTCAAAGCATTCAGCAGGATCCACATGACTGAGACAATATTTGGCCAGTATTTTGGTAACTGCAACCAATCATTCCTATGAAATATATGTACTGCCTTAGTAGTTTAGGAAATGTCACTGATAGTCTGGAGTAAATGATAAATCTTTAAGGGTGCAACTAACTGGCCATTGTATTCAGTGAGAACATTTCAGTTGAATGGACTTGATATGAGGCTCCGATTCTTTTTGGTATGCTGTGTAGTGAATGTTAATCTCTGAATCATTTTTAGAAATCCTGTCGCCTTCCAATATTACTCCACAGGAATTTCTCTGTAACTGATCACTTGTTAATGCTCACTTATACTTAAGTATGTATCGATACTTGTGAAGAAATCTATCTTGCTTTAAATAATGGTGTAGATTACACATTGATGTACTTTGTCAGAATGTGGAAGGGTATGTTATGCACCTTTCTGAAATATTAATAGGTGCATAGAACAAATAACCTGTAGCAAGAAAAGCAGTTGAAAGGATGATGTCAGGGCAGGGGTGCACATGATCATCTAAAAGCAGGTCTTGTTCTCCCCTAGCCCCTTCACAGAGGCATTTCAGGCCGCAGAGTGACAAACTTACTCCCAGACCTGGGGTTATCTTGAATAGTAATGACAGAGTATAACTTCAGTGCACAGTCCCTCCTAAAGCAGGATGTTTGTATGGCTTCTAGTAAGGGTTCTCTGTCTCTGCCCCTATTTCATTCTGAGCAGAGTCAGAGCCATTCTGGGAGAATTAACCATGTCCAGTAAGTAAGTAGAAATGACATGGCATTTTTATGCAGGTCACAAATTCTTACTAATAAGGTGGATTAACAGAAGAGCCCTGTGTCCATACACAGAACCTCAGGACTTCCACCTTGTCTGTAGCTTTACTGTATGCTTTTCACTGTAGATGCTTTTCCTCTTATTCCACCATTATAAATTAATTATGCTGTTCTCCACAATTACACAATGCCAAACGAGTCCAAACTGTGACATTTGACCTCATGTCCTCATTCACGTTCATGTAACAACTTGCATCATTTGCAAGTGTTGGATGTGGCCTGGAGATTTACTGGTGTAACTGTAGCATCTACTTAGGTATGACTTAAATTTTGATGAGTGTCTCTGGGCTGCAAATTAGTTTCTAGTTTATCAAGCAGAAAATCCAGATGACGTTGTATAAATTAGTGCCATTTTGAATCACGGTATCTTAGGTGGTAAGCTTCACAGAGAAAAAATAAGCATAGGGTTGGTGCAGTGCTGTTAAGTTACTCTAATGGGCTGAAATATCTATTTGATACCATCCTATGAAGCTGTTTTCAACCATGTGGTGTTGAACGGAAACCCTAAATAGCAACATCTTAGATATTGTTTTTTGTAGATATTTAGAATATTCCTAATCAGATAGGCACAATATTGGCCTGATTTTCAGAAGTTTTGAGCACTCACCAATCTAGGTTAAGTCAGTTGGAGCTAAGAGTGCTTAGCAGCTGTAAAAATCAGACCAGCATTGGGAAAGTCATCAGGTCCTCATCATAGGTAAATCATACCATAGGAGGAGCTTCTGTGGCCTTTCAAGCTGGCATCCAGTCTAATCATCTACTTTCTGCAGTTAGATGTGGCAATGGCAGGATGGAATATACAGAGAAAAAGAGAACAATGATTAATATAGAATTTGTTTCAGTAGACTGGGGGCAGCAGACAGGAGATTGTGCTTGAGGGACAATTCTCCCAGATATGGTGAAATACAAGAAAGGTAATTAAAGAACACCACACTGACAACATTACATCTTATAGTAAAGTTCCCCTATCTGGATATTAGATTACCATATTCAAGGAGCCTCCACACTGTTTTTTCCAGGTCCATTTGGATTATTGAGACTGTTTCAGGTTTATTATTCTTTATATGACTAAAATTACAGGCTTTTTAAAATAATGCACTAATGCTAAGTATTCTTACAGTTTTTAGGCTGTTTTAGATAAGTAAACTAAATGAGATGAGATTATACCCTGTACATTCAGCTTAGTTTTGACAGGTGTGCTTATCAAACAAGGCAGGGTAAACCAGATTTATTTGTTGCTAAACTGAGCACAAATATAGTTGTCATTCATTATTTGTAATACACTTACTTCCAAGAGGTCCTCTTGTGCTGGGTGCTATCCAACTAGTTTTAACAAAGCAACTAAAATATGTTTGCTGCATCTGAAGTCCTATTTGTTTCTGTTTATTAAGCAGAGTTTGATAGACTGGCTTTGCTACATAAACAAGACATCTGAAGGAATTATTGTTCTAGCACAGTATTGATGCACCTTTGGTGCTGTATTTTACTAACAACTTATTATAGTAATATTTATGGCTGTATATCAGCAATAAGTCTGCAGGCTTGCTTCAGGTTTCTCTCCTTAAAACCTGTCAAAAGTGGCTAGGGATGGCAAGCACAAAAAGACTATTAGTTAATAGTGAAGCTGATATTCTGGTTGCTCAGCATGGTCATTTCCCCCTCACTAAGCAGTAAGAGGTCTCTGTTCCACATGAGGACCTCCTTGTCATTATCCAATTCCAACCTTTTTGCTTACAAACTGGGCTGGGATCAGTGCAGAAAGAGAGCCTGCTGGGGAATGCACCCTGCTAATGTGGCCCCTGCACTATATAGGAGATTCCAAACTGAAGTATAAAGCCATTGGGTTAATGCGAAATTTATGTTGTGTGAAAATAAAAGATAAATTATTTGACCTGAGATCTTTCTGAATTCTTTTTTTCTTCTTTAATCCTTACTTGATACTGCTCCATGATGTGCATTTCTTCTTCTTTTGCCTCCATTCCTGGTATTTGAAGCAGTTACCATTTTAAGTCAGTCCATTCTCCCTTTCTTCCTTGCTCTCTTCTAACATTTTAATTCAGAAATTCTGGGGGGAGTTTCTGAATCTCTTGTCAATCTCCTCAAAGATGCCAGTGTTGTGAACCTGCCTTCCCCACATGTCATCAGCCCAGGTCAAACCCAGGACCAAAACCATGCCGTGCAAATTAAAGGACTAACTCAATTAACTGGCAGCAGTAGAAGAATGTTACTTTCTATATGGACCTGCCAGAGGCTAGCAAGAGATATGTAACATGCTATGTTACACTAATCATAGAATCATAGAATCATAGCGGTAGGGTCGGAAGAGACCTTGTAGATCTTCAAGTCCGGCCCCCTGCCTGGGCAGGAGAAAAACTGGACTC